AAGAGTGTTTCTTCTCCTGCGTTCTACTGTACAGACGTGAATTTACTCTTCCTTCAGCCTGAGGTTTATTCATTACACTTTTTGGTGTGAAAGGGCTTTTACATTTGCTATAAATAGAACTTCTTATATTAAAAACAATCAAGCCCTGCTCATATTTAAAAAAGTAACGCGAAAGTAACGTAACGCATTACTTTCCATAAAAAGTAACTAAGTAACGTAATTAGTTACTTTTTAGGGAGTAACGCAATATTGTAATGCATTACTTTTAAAAGTAACTTTCCCCAACACTGTATATATATATCTATTATATATATGTATATATATATATATATATATAATCTTTAAAGAACATTTGTAAGCAATTACTTTCCCGCCTCTACATGTAAAAATAATTCCACAAGATGTCGCCAACATTCAGATAAGAGGAAAAGGCTGCCCGGTGTCTGGTATGTCTATACTTGTGTGCCTGCTTTTCTGTATCATTTTCCTCTTCTGTTCTTTCAATATTACATTACAAACCTGTTTATATTCATATCCACCAGCATGTATTAATGTATTCTTCAAAGCCCCAAAGAGAGCAATATAGCCTGTTGAGCGTTTGTGTCTGTGTGGAAAGCGCACTGAAGTCTGGTCACTCCATCGAGTCTCGACGAGGGCGGCGCTCTCCTCAACACTTCACCGAGGGGAGAACACGAAACGTGGACGCTGGGGGACGGACGGTGACTACTGATGATGGAGCGACATGTACCTTCTCTCGCTGTCTTTAGAAAGTCCGGTCTTTTAACCCTTCAGTGTCCTCTTCTGGGGAGGAAGAGCTGTCATGGGAGACGCGCGGCACTTCTCGCGCGTCTGGACTGACGGGGAGCCGCGAAACTCCGCAGCGGGAGAAGAACATCACGAACACGCGTGTGCAGCGCGGTAGAACGATGGAACGCGGACGCGATACACTGTAACAAAGGCAAGTATTCGCACTGACTATTGAGGCGCCTTTGATACATTTGTAACCTGTAGCGCCAAAGCGGCAACATCAATACAGAAACTGGCTTGACTTTATTAGAGGTCGATAGATTTCTAATGTTATTGAAGAAGTGTAATCTCAAGTTTGGGCGCATATCGAGAAATGGTGGCTTCAACATGAAGGGCTGTTTCTTTCCAGGTGATATACAGAGAGAGACATAGATTTATTGGAATGAATGAATTTGAGATTGAGCCCACTATTAAGAAAAAAAAATGTTTTGATGTCTTTTATCGTTTTAGCATAAGATGGACAGTCTTTTTAAAGCGTCCTGAAATGTGTCTGAAATTATAATGAATTGCATATCTCATTTGGTGCATTTTTGACATTGCATTATACACAGCATGCACAAAGGAACTGGAGATTGAGCCCTATATTAAAAAAAGTTTTTTTTTTTTTTTTTTTTGTTTTTACAGCCC